AACAACAACAAAAAACATATATGCGTATGGCATTGTTAAGTTATGTTTCCTTTATACATAGGTTAGTGAAGTATGTTTGCTGATATTACCCTAAACGTGATATTGAAGGAAGATTTTGATGTAAGTGTGGTGTCCACAGAATAGAAACAACAACAAAAAACATATATGCGTATGGCATTGTTAAGTTATGTTTCCTTTATACATAGGTTAGTGAAGTATGTTTGCTGATATTACCCCCAAACGTGATATTGAAGGAAGATTTTGATGTAAGTGTGGTGTCCACAGAATAGAAACAACAACAAAAAACATATATGCGTATGGAAGTTAAGTTATGTTCCTTTATACATAGGTTAGTGAAGTATGTTTGCTGATATTACCCCCAAACGTGATATTGAAGGAAGATTTTGATGTAAGTGTGGTGTCCACAGAATAGAAACAACAACAAAAAACATATATGCATATGGGATTGTCAAGTTATGTTTCCTTTATACATAGGTTAGTGAAGTTAAGTTATGTTTCCTTTATACATAGGTTAGTGAAGTATGTTTGCTGATATTACCCCCATTATTGAAGGAAGATTTTGATGTAAGTGTGGTGTCCACAGAATAGAAACAACAACAAAAAACATATATGCATGTGGCATTGTTAAGTTCATTTTTTTTGTTTATTACTAATATATGTACATATATACACACAATCATTAAATGTACTGGTGCAGCACAGCCCCAGCTAGCATAATAGGCCTGTTCCTTCAAAGTTTCCTTGTAGATCCCATGATACACTGTTACATGCTATTTTTTTTCTAAAGTAATTAGTTAGCATATTATATTTATCATCCTGGAGAGAGCATGTAAATATGTTAAAAGAAAGTGTAACAAAGAGTGAACTTTCTATAAAGAATAAATAATGAATGTGAGATATAAATGCCTATTTTAAAAATCTATAAAACAAGTATTAGAACTTTATTAGATGTCCGTCATGAAGAACGTTCGAAGTTTTATCGTACACCAGCTCTAAGTCTTACAAATACTGATACTAAAATCCCAGTTGCTTCTGTTGAACTCTCACATAAACATGCTGGATACTATAATGCATTTTTTTTTTATCATGGAGGCCCCCAGCGATACAGCGGTTTGTCTGCCTACTTATACCGCTATAAACCGAGTTTCGATACCCGTGGTGGGCAGAGCACAGATAGCCCTTTGTGTAGCTTTGTGTTTAATAGCAAGAGAAAAAAAAATTATCATGGAATAATTTCGTAAAGGGTTCTAAAGCTAAAATTTATATGCATAACGTATTAAAGACAACTAATAAATGAAACAAGTTTAATTTTTACCCTTATATAAATACACCTGTATAAATAAACGTTTTTCATTCTAGCTAGCAAGTTGAGATGCCCTGTTTTTTTTTTTACAGATTTTACCCAAACTTCTAATTGTAACAAAGGGAACTTTTGGGGCATAAGTATAGCAAGGCAGAGACTTGAGCCCACCCAGCCACCCCTCTGTGTACGTTACTTTTGATATGCCTAGGGGTAACCTGCTCAGAGAAGGTATCGCAGCTGACACCGTTCATGTACTTAGGTTTAGCTCTAATCCAGCGTGAGAAAATATTATTTGACAAAAAGTTTAAGAATGACATATAGTAAAATAAACTTAAGGAACTCCAGATAGTGATAGTAAAGTAAAATAAAAAGGATTGTCCCAAGACCGTCACGAACTTATCTTCGCACAACCATCCCTAATATTGGGTTGAGTTATTGAATAGCACTCGCCTCCAACACTCGGGTTTACTCCATCAGACCCGATAGTGGGACCTGACCGGCGCACCCACAGCCCAAGAGTCTGGAGTGCGTTTTTTTTGCGGCAGTTTGACGCGAACCATAAATCCTTGATTTCATAGCATGTGCATGCTAACTACTAGACTACGCCCTACCTTGGAAGGGTAATAACACTACATTAACCATAAGCAGGTAATTCCATTATCCGAAAAGTCCTTATAATTTAAGGACCTGTCCCTCCAGTGGGACAGCGGTAAATCTTAGGATTTGTAACGCAACAATCAGGGGTTCGATTCCCCTCGGCGGACACAGCAGATAGTCCGATGTGGCTTTACTGTAACAAAACACATACACAGTTTTAAGATCAAATGACACTTATTTGCGAGGACATTGTATCCAGAATAAAACTTTCTTCGTTTAGGCAAAATTTAAGTGCCAAACTTTTTTTCGTGTGTGTAAAATACTTGATATCAAAGTATGTTTTGATACTTGCCTGTCATGACATTATTCTAAATGTACCTACATTTTTATAATGTCATCATTATTCCTTATTAGCTTATTGCACATTTTTCTAAATATCATTTTAAAAACACATCGAAGTGAGGCTCAAACTCGGGTTGTTGTTAAAGCAAGCCCCACGATATAGGACTCTTTAAAAAAAATTAGACTTTATCCCTCTCACTGACGTAATATTTCCACAATTTGATGAAATATATATATGGCCAGTTTAATCTAGTTATGAGTACCACATCATATCAAGTTCAAATTATTATGGCCAAATCCAGTGAGAAAAGCCCGCATAGATCTGTTGCCACCATAATGGTGTAAGAGTCACGTGAACAGTTTGTTGTTTCCCTTCTCGATGGAAAGTACGTATTTATATGTCAGGTGTATTCCTCGTACCAATCGAAACTGAGTTAGAGCAAGTCATTGACATACAAACCAGACGGCGCGTGTGTCTATGGATATCAATATCACTTTATTCTGTTTAACCACAAAGAGTTAAGATTGTTTTCCTCGCAACACTTACATAAATAAAACTTATTTATTTTTAATTTTTTCCCCTTCTTCTCTTAATTAATTTTGTAATGAAAAACATTTAATTTGGTGGTCATGTGCTGTACAGTTATAAATTTCAA